CTGCAGTGAATGGGTGCCGTCAGAATGAGAGTCCAAACAGCTGATAAAAACGTCACAATAATCCACAAGAAATCCACACCGCTCCAGTCCATCAGTGAAAAGCTACATGTTTGTAAGAAATTAAACCATCAAGACGTTTTTAACTTCAAACCGTTGCTTCTGGCTAAAATAGTCCTCTATCCATAATATTGCTTTCTCAGTTGAAAGGTAATCTCGTCTGAATCAGAGAAATATGCACAGATCAAGCACCGTTTATAAGCCAAAACAGTTCTGAACAAATATGTGGGTGGATTTTGATGTGAGAGGAAAACGGGATGGACTTTTGTGGATTATTGTGATGTTTTTATTAGCTGTTTGAACACTCTTTCTGACGGCACCCATTCACTGCAGAGGATGTAATGATATATTTCTCCAAATCTGTTCTACTGAAAAAACAAACAGGCTGACTTTCTTTTTTGAGTGAACTATTCCTTTAAATCAATGTCAGAATTCTAAAGGAAGGAAATTTGAGGAGCAGGAATTCCGTCGTTGCCGTGACCACCAGCTTGACTCTGATTGGTGCTCTGTCATCTTTGATGTTGCAGGCGAGCCTGTACAGAGGAGGCTACAGCCGCTTCACGCCCTACTAGAGAGACTAAACCACTGATTAGGCAAACTAACACACAAAACCGCTAGACTCATTCTGCTACATGGAGTGCGATTTCAAACTAAAATGCTTCCAGGTCACCCTATGACCTCATCCCGACAACATTCTCTCAAGTGGACGTTGTGGAAATCAATGGGAAAATCAGAAGAGCAGCTCATAAATGTGGAGTTGATGTCAGATTTTTGGACTTTTTGATTTTAGACTTTTTTTTTTTTACGTCGGAAATGTTTTTGCATTTGTGTTTGTGGACAGTATTTCGAAATGTGTTTTAAAATAGGAAGAATGTGAACTATTATGTGGTCCTTTAGATGTTTGTTTTTCATTATTGATCATTTTGTTATGTATATAAGCTGCTAGTGTGAATTCAGACATGAGACAAAAATATCTCAGGACTATATTAAACTTTTCTCTTAATACAAAACCACCCCAGCAGACATTCAGATTGACTATATCTCACCAGATATCGCCAGCATACTCTAGTCTCTGTGGTCTGAAACAGTGTGTTTGCTGTATGAATAAGCTGTTCTTGTTTAGTTGCTGGGGTTTTATTTGAAGGGTTTCTATGCATGTTGTTTCAGAGATGAGAGGACTCGTCATGTGTTCGGCCCTCTCACGTTTGCACTGTGCAGATTTACCTCTGTACAGAGTGGACAGGTTTAACTCACACTAACTAATGCTGAATGGATGTGTGAGTGCTTGTACATTAACATATTAAAGATTAAACCATCATTTCATAAATGGAAGTATTGCATAAAGTAATTTTAGAAGTTAACAGAGACTTTGGGAGCAATATGTAGTGAGAAAGGAGATTTTAAAAGCAAGGAGAAATAATTAGATTCATGAAAATATAAGGAAACTTATTAAGACATGGTGGGATTTAAAGAAATGTGAAATTTGAAGAGAAAATTAAAAATAATAATAAATAGTTAGACTTAAGAAAATGTATAAGGAGACGTGGGGAGATTGAAGGATATATACAGAGAAATTTTAAAATAATAGTAATGATTAAGAAAATATATAAGGAGACATGGGGAGACTTAAGGAGATTTATAGAGAAACTGAAAAAAAAATATAAATTATTACACTTAAGAAAATATGTAGGGAGACATGGAGAGGTTTAAGTGGACATATAGAGATTTAAGGGAACACAAGAAATAGTTACATTTAAGGCAAGACACTACAGGATAAACAATGTTTTACAGTATGCCACTGTTCAATTTAAACATTTTGGGGTATTTTGCTTCGAGAATAGTGGAAAGAAAACATCCAAAATACATATTTAAGTGTTAATTTTATTACACGTTTTTATTTGCATCTGTAGATTTCAATTACAATATACAGTATATATTTAAATCTGATTTCTTAAAAAAGTTTTTTTTTTTCCCTCTTCAGTTTTACCTACATACAACAAACTTAACAGTTTTGTTCCGCTCTATATTCTGAAGGTTTTTATACAGGAGTTTGTTCATATATCATTCGCTTGATTTTATTATTGCACTATAACTGTCACTGTGTGCCTACTGTGAAGGAGCGAGGAGACATAGGAGAATCCAGAATGATCACAGACTTTATTTACATCAAGGAAATCACACGTAGGACACGGGGATCGACATACATTCAACACCAGACAAAGAAACTTACATTTAGTCATTTAGCAGATGCTTTTATCCAAAGCGACTTACAAATGAGGACAATGAAAGCAGTCAAAACTAACAAAAGAGCAACAATAAGAAAAACAAGTAGATAGAATAGAAAAAATAGAAAGCTAGTGTTTTTTTTGTTTTTTTTTATTAAAAAAAAAAAAACTTAGAACTGGATTCACTATAAATACACAGGACTTGATGAGGGGAAGGCGAGAAACACCTGGGATCAATAAACATAATTAAACATGAGGGAAAACTGGGTCATGGAAAGCACGTGGGGGAGGAAAACACAAAACACGGAACACAGAACTGACAATAACTATATATGTCTATAGATTTCAATTACAATACATATCTTTAAAGGCCGTTTTCACAAAATGAATTTGTTTCTCCACTTCAGTAGCACTTAAATATACTAAATTTTAGAGTTTTATTTCTATCTATATTCTGAAAGTTTTTACAGAAGTGTTTGTTCATACATCATTTGCTTGATTTTATTATTGCACATTATTTGCGTCTATAGATTTCAATTGCAATACATAAAAGACATTTTTTTCTGAATTAGTTTGTTTCTCCACTTCAGCAGCACTCACATACACCATTTTTTACAGTTTTATTCCTATCTATATTCTGAAGGTTTTTGTAGAGGAGTTTGTTCATATATCATTTGCACTGATATTACATTTTATTCCTAAAAACATTTCCTAAAAACATTTTTTTCTGGCTGTTGACGGTATTTTCTAATTTATGGAGTGATAAAAAGAGATATCAAAAATCCCTTCTGTAAAAACCTTCAACTCTAATATGTCAACAAAATCAAACAAATAGTTTTAACCTGGCTTTATCCAGTGCTCACATTTATTCTCTGAAATGTTTTCAAATTAGTGCATATTCAATTAGAAAATGCCTAATTTGTGTATTTAACCATAACATTTCTGAAAACTTGTAATACAACACAGTTTTCTTAATGTACTGTATGTATGATGATATTAGCTCAAATTTTTACTCTGTTCACCCGTAGTGTCTTGCCTTAACAAAACGCACTGAGACACATTGAGGCATAAAGAATCATAGGAAAGTATAAAAAAAAACCTAAAGAGACAGGAAAGGAGATATGAGGAGAGCAGCTGTCTCCTGACAGTTTCTTGTCTTCATCAGATGTCATGAGAAGGTCCTGCACTTCCTTTTCCACTCCAGACCTTCAATCTGAATGCATGAATTAAATGTGAATCAGTTCAGACTGAATGTCTCTACCTCACTGATTCAAATGCAAAACATGGATAGAGACCTTAAGTAGTGTGACATTTGTAAGAATTGAGATGAAAACTCTCAAGATCACATCCCTGAGCTCATGTTATGATGCTTTGGACTGAATTCAGCTCCCATGTGCTGTAAAATGTCATTTGATTAACATAATTAGGGCTATATCCTTAAGGTGTAAGTTTAAACTTAACTTTGAGTGATGTGACTCATGCAAATGGACCTTTATGCTTTAAGTGTAGTCAAAGTTAACAATGTTTACACACAAACATATCAGCAGAATCTTTAAGGACATTTCCTTTTTTCCCAGATCTGCTGCAGATTTTTTTCATCTCTTAAAGTCACTGGCACATTCATTTATAACTTTTCTTTTATGATCTCTACGGACTTGGTTTGCTGTTTTGAGAGAGCTCTTGTCATTTTTCATTGTGTAAAAATTGCATCTTCAATTGGAGTTGCATCTTCTCTGAAGGGAAATTGCATCAAAGTGTAAGAGAATAGTTTACACTCCAGTATAAAACATGTTTTTGCACTGAATTGCAGTATGTGTAAGTCTCCAGCAGACAGCTGCTCTCTGTTTTCCTCTCTGTATCTATCTCCTGTGCTTTTATTCTGCTTTGACCTGTTAATGCTGCTGCTGATGATGATGTTCAACCAGAAAGAGCCTCTGTGGATGTGAAAGATGTGATTTGTTGTTTTATTTCCACTGTGTCGACTCGCATTAATGTACAAAGAACCAGCAGACGGTAAACTATACATATGTATTTGCTTATTGTTTTAATATATTAAGTACATGAGGGAGATCTTTTAATGTTTTGCATAATTATTCTGCAGCTCATAAAGTCGACATATCAGCACAAGGATTGATATGATTATTACTCACATCTATGAAGTCTTCAGGTCTCGACTCATTCAGACCAGCATGTTTACCTGCTGTTTGAGCAAAAAAATAAAAAAATAAAAGACACTTAGAGTTGGAAAAAAACGAAAAGGACAAAAAGCAAAAAAAGTTTGTAAATACATTCCTATATACTTCATAAATATCATATGATTATCTTCCTAAGCGTTTCAATATGTTTTTATGTGTGTCTGAAATGTTTTATTCTTTAAACTCTGTCATTTATTTTCATTTGTTTTTGTCCGAGAGTTTTGTCAAAAGTACTTTGGTTTGATGTATTCAACACTGTATATGATGTGATCTTTTTGCATATGAAAATATTTGATGTTTGTATATAAAAGTTCATTATAATTCATGAATATGTCTACATAAAATAAAGAGCTTACATGAGCTGAGGTCTCTTCCCTTATATGTATATAAAGTGCAGTGGCTCCAAAACGTATTTAGACACATTGCAATGAAGTTTAAGAAATGTTGTGCTTACAAAATGTGATTACATTTAAATGACAATGTTATATGATTTAAGGAACAGTTGATTCACCCTTCTGTCGTTCTTGTATTCTGTAATTTTGTATTTTTTTAACAAGATTTTTTGAAGAATCTTTACATTGTGTCATTCTGTGTCCGTCACTAAATTTTTAAGACAAAAAAACTTAAATTATTTTTGTTTATTATTTACTTTATTTATTTTTATTGTATCTTTGTTTTTTGTTTTTTTATTTCATTCATTCATTCATTCATTTTGCAGTGTATGATATCTTTGTGTGAGGAACAGACAGATAAACTTTGAAATGTCAATAATGTTCACACTCATATTTAAAAACGGATGTTTTGCCATGAATGTTTGATGACTTAAGGTATTGGTTGCTGTCAATAACTTATTAATTTGTTTCTGTTCCTTACATAAAGCATCATACAACTTATAAGACTTATAACATTGTGCACAAGTCATATGGGTTGACATGACGGATTTGGGGGCTGCTGTAGATTTCATCTTGAAACTGAAATGATATCAACTGAAACCAACAAGCACCACTGAATAAATTCTTATCTGCTTTTGCTTTTTCAGTAAATACAGCAGAAGAAAAAATCTATAAGAGACAGCGAGATCTGTACGGAGCACTTCAGGAAAGCAAGGACCATCATGAGAAAAGCAAATCTAGAGAAAACCGGAGGAGAATGAAGAAAAGTGCCAGCGGAGAACATAAAGGACAAGAATACAAACAGATGGAAGAGAAAGAAAACACATTCAGAAACATTTTATTTTTCTATATGTTAGCGTTCATGGATGGAGCAGAGACGGACA